GTGGATAAATTTTGAAAACTCCTATAATATAACTAACATTGTTTTTTTTTATTAAACTTGTAGGTGTACCTGTAAATATGTAGACAAATTTTACTAACGCCTTAGTTATTTGGTTTTTCTTAAATTTTGTTGCAATTTTGCTGAAGTTATTTTGAATATTGTTTATACAATTCTTATAAAGAGTAAACTTTCACAAACAAATTTCTTCGATGAAAGTAATGAAAATGCCTCTGACACATGCTAAACGCCAGAAAAACTATAGAGAAAGACATATGCAAAAATTTGGTCCGGATATTATAAAGGAAAAGGACTCGATACGGAAAATTGAAAAACAAAATTCTAATGTTGAATTAGCACATTCAAAGGACAAGTTAAGAAATTCATTTAAAATAACATCTAACAACTCTCCTGCTTAAAAATCATCTTGTACACTTGGTAAACGAACATACTGATTTTTCAATCAATAAATCTAAGTTTGTTAGTTTAAAACCAGGCCATTTACTTTTATCAAGCTTAATGTCTAGAAATGTTTGCTCATGTCAAAAACATGAAAACATTATCTTGTCACTCAAAGCATTACATTTCATTGATTTAAAAATTCCCCTTTATTCGCTTGCTTTACCAAATACTTTAGTGTGTGATGAGAAAAATGATAATTGTTTGAATAATCTTTGTGAAGCTTGTAAGGACCTAAAGTTGTTTCTTAAAACATACCAATTAGATGAAAAGAACCACGATAAAGAAATTACCTGGTACCTTTAGGTGAAAGTTACGCATTTTAATGGAACTAAGTACCTCGAAAAGCAATAAAAAAAGCCAAAGCCATAATTTTGTATAACAATGTTTGCAAAATGCTACCCAAATTTCTTTTGCATTATTTTATAAAAGGAAAACAATCAATGAGTTATGAAAGCCAAAACAAAGTTTTAAAAAGCAATCTTGATTCAGTTTTGTTACAAGTTGACTTTGCAGAAAACTTCTCAACTTTCTGGCAGGATGAAATTCAGTCAGCACGTTGGAATAAAAAAGTAGTAACATTATTTACTGTTGTTAGCTGGCATGGTGACTCTTGTAAATCTGCCGTTATTATTTCTGATGATTTGAACCATTCAAGAAGTTCAGTTATTTATTTTATTGACTTGTTAATAACTAACCTTATTAGAAAGGATGTAAAATACTTGCAAGTTTGGTCTGATGGTCCTAGCAGTCAGTTTAAAAATTGTTACATAGTAGCTTTAATTCCATGGCTTGAAAGCAAGCATAAAATTAAATTTTGCTGGAATTACTTTGCAACCTCTCATGGCAAAGGGCCATGTGATGGTATAGGAGCAACCATAAAAAGATTAACAACACAAAAAGTTGTTCGAAGAGAAGCTCTGATTAATGATGCAACGGCATTTTAAAAATATGAAAATCAAGTAAACGTTTTCATGATTGCTGCTCAAAAAATTAAAACTGCTTTTGATGGCACAGAACTTGGAAACATCATTAATAATGCTTGTAAACGCCTGGAATATTTAGTGCCCATTGTTTAAAACAGTTTAATGATAAAATGGAAATGAAACCTTATTCAAGTGCATCATACTTATAAACTAGATAAAATTTAATAAAAAAACGTAGTTGAATTTTACAAGACTTTTTTTGAAATTATTGTAACTGTTTTGTTAAACATTATTGTTATACCAATCTCATAAAAATCTGAATAAATTAGTTTCTTTTGTTTTAACTGTCTTTTTGATGATGTTGTTGTCTTAATATTTGAAGATTTTGTACTGGTCACACCGTGACATCATGTTGTGATGTAAACTCATACCGTGACATCACGTTGTGACTCACACCATGACATCACGTTGTGATGTTAAATTTATAAAACATTATGAAACTATTATAATACCTTTTAAGTATCCAAGACATAACAAAAAAATATTTCAAAATATCCACAAGAGCTAAACTACTGTCATTTCTTCTAATGACCGAAAATGCAAGATAATTTTTGTCACGTTGTGACGCAACCTTATACCTAATAGTCTGTAACCTTATACCTAATAGTCTGCTTATACCTAAAAGTCTGTAAAATAATAAAACTAAATAATTTTGTTTTTAGAAACTGTAATGTATATTGCAAAAATCTAGATCTTCCTATTTTTATGAATGTTAGTGTACTGGATAAGTCATCTACCCATTTTCTTTTTTTCTCAAATATCAGTTTTTTGGAATTCGTTTCCTTTATCTTGTTTTCCTGTGGCTGTATTTTCATCTCTCTGTTAAGCTTAACGAAGCGTTTGTCTAAATTTCTTTTTAACTACATTATCAAAAAAATTCTTTAAAAGTATGATTTTTTAAAATAAAATTGTTTTATTTTAGTATTAGTATTATTTAAACAAATTTAAATAAAGTTTATGTCATTTTTTGACTTGGAAATATTTTCATAAAATTTTATATAAAAGCTCCGTTAAGCTTAACCGAGAGATGAGAATACGGCCACTGAATCATAATTTGTAATCTTTTAAGTAGTCTATCAATTGTTATCTCTCTCTATCTTTTCTCTTCCAGTAACTTCTAACTCTAACAGTAGCCTTGTTGGAAGTGAAAATGTTTAAAAAAATAGGTCAATATTTTTTGTTAAACTTGAATAAGTAAATTATATCTTATCAAATTAACAAAAAAAAAAAAAAAAAAAAAAAAAAAATGAAGGTAAAAGGTAGTTGTAAATAGTTTTTAAATAAATATACTTAATCATTTAATTTCAATATTTGTGACATCCATATTTACTTGAGTATGTGTAGTTACCATAAGTTAACATAAATTTGATTAAATTAAATTTGTTTAAAAGATTATCATCAGTACTTTTTGTTTGTTTATTTTCCTTTCTTTTTAACATTATAGCCTGCAAATTATGATTTCTACAAGTTTATTTTTAATGTATGTTCTATGAGGTTTTATTTATTTGTCTACAGTGCGTGTATTTCAATGCATGTATTTTAGTGTATGTATGTCTTTGCTTATTATTACTTATATTATATATAAAAATTGGCGTCACTCTTTTGATCAGGTTTCTGTATAAGTGACACCATCCTAATAAATCATTAACTTATTATTGTAAATAATTTTATGCTTGTAATACTATTATAATATTTATTGTTACTATTATTTTTTTGATTAAATTTTAAATTATTATGATTATGTATTATTGTTATTATTAATATTATTATTGTTATTATTATTATTAACACTATTGTAAAAATTATTTAAGGAAAATAAATAGCTTGATGCAGGCCTTGTGATAAATAAAAACTGCGCGACGCACAAGCACCACGTGATTTTTGACCTCGTTAAATTCTTTTTATTTGCTTTTCATATTTATCGACATTAACTGCACCAATTTACTTAATTACCGCATAACTACTTTAAATCATTATTGTAGAAATTTTATTATTTAAAAATGTTTTGGAATGTTTTGTTTTTTAAAATGTAAAAACATTTGTTTATGTTCTTGACGTTTGACACGTTTTGTCTATACTAAACGAATAAAAAACATTATAACAAAACATTTCAAAAAGATTATAAAATATGCTAATATTTGATTTTTTTTTTTCTTAAATCTGTAATTTAAAGTTTTTCAAATATTTATTTTTTCTTTTTAAAAAGTCAGCGAGTAATAAACTGGAAATTTTAATTTTGTACAATTAAAAACTGTGCTATAGCTAATATTTTTACTAGCAATTTTATATAATATTTTTTTATTTATTTATTTTTATTTTCATAAAGCGGTTGATAAGCACAATCACTCATATTTCTAAAAAACTTTAACGAAGGTTTTGAATAGATTTTTAATGTTTACAAGGAATTTTATTTTTGGTAAAATAAAATAAAACAAAATGTTTGAATAAAAATCTTATAGGTATAAAAAACATATTTCAGCGAAAAAATTATTCTTAAAAATTATTCTTAAAAATTATTATTAAAAGTTATTCGAAAAACTATTGACGTTCTATTTTTCAGCAGCTGTTCTTGAGCACGCTTCGTTGAGTTTCGGTAACTTTTAACAAAAAAGCGATTGTTATTAATTAAGTAATTTTTTTTGAGTTACTTTTTACAAAAATTTTAATAACTGTACTTTTTTATTGAATCAAGTAGAATATGTTTTAATATTAATCCTTTTATTTTTTTTATTTGCGCTTACCAATTTTTAAAATGTTTTCTCGAAATTACTCTTAAATACTTTAAATACATCTAACAGTTAATAAATATTTTTAAATCTATGGAATGATTTTAAAACCTAACAAACCCCCGTAAAATAATCATTTAAGTTAAAAATCTAAAACTAAAAGAAAGTATTTTTGTTCAATTTTATCGACAACTTAGCTATTGCTGAATAATTTTATTAAAATGTTAGCTTAAAAAGATTTCAACTTTTTTTTTAATCTGAATTTTTTCTACTTGTAGATAATGAGCATATTTAAATTTTTTTTAATTCAAACTTTTATATCAACTGCGTGCGGTTTTTAAAATACTTTATTAAATGTTAAAATAATCGAAAATTATTTCATTAAAATTCCGCTCAAAAATATCTTCAAATATACTTAAACAAAAATTTTTTTGCTCGACGCAAATAGCCCTAGCTGCACGCAAAATCGCTCTTGGACGACGTAAAATTCACATCGCCCGACGCTTTATCGCAAGGCCTGTTGACGTTGTTGTTGTTGTTGTGTTGTTGTTGTTGTTGTTGTTGTTGTTGTTGTTGTTGTTGTTGTTGTTGTTGTAAATCTATTCTGATAAAAGCCCTCCCACAGATAATTATTCAGTAAGTATTTGTAATGCTTTTGAAAACTTTTTTACACTCACGTTATTGAGGTTAGAGGTGAGACCAGTGATGTGGCTTCATGCACCAAGGACCTTGTCAGAGTAATATTTCATGACACGATACTGTTGAACTGCAATATTTTATAAATTGTTTTCTACTAAATAAATTTAATTTTTAAATTATAACCTTATTTTAGGTCATGTTGATACAGCACCAACAAAAAATATGACTCCAAGCAAAACAGGTTTTTTTTTTTTTTTTTTCAAATATTTATGTTTTTCAAATTTGATAATAAAATCATTATAAAAAACTCAAGTTTTAAAGAAGTTCAGAAAAGTTAATTAAAGTTGCAATGATAATGTGAACTTTGATAAAGTTTTAATAACTTTTATAGTAGGCATGCAAAAAATTTCAATAAGTAAAAAATGTTTATAATTAAACACAATTTAATATGATTTTAAGTTATTTCTTCTCTAATTGCAAATTTAACTCTTAAATACACTCTTAGGTGTAAATCTTAAGTAAAGTGTAAAGTTTTTTAAGACTCATTTGTTTTGATGCTTATGATGATTGATACTTCGATTTTAATAATCATATATTCATATATAATCACACTTGCAAAGTGTGATAATATAAAGTGATTGGCGTACTTTTAATGATATATTTTTTACCTTTGACTGTTGTGAGGGGCATATTAAAATTCAAAAACATTTTTTTAAAAAAGAATATGGAAAAAAAAAATAATTTATATTTTAGAAAACAAAGAAGCATTTTTTCATTTTTAGTATTTTTTAATGTTAGGAGATTGCTACTCTTTCTATTAATTGAATTGCAAATCAAGTTTGTTAATCATTTCAATTTAACTTAATGTGCTAGATTCTATTGGTTTGGATTGATAAGGGAGGGGAGGGGGGGCATAACGGAGTCATAACAAATGAAAATAAAAATATTACATTAGTTTTTTTAAAATTACTTGTGGTAATTGCAGGCATAAAAAAATTTTTTGATTCTCAAATATAGAAAAACCAGATAGTGGACGATTATTTAAAAGCAATTAAAACCATTCAAAATCTTATTTTATTTTTTAACGAATATTTGTATAAAAATTATTATAATTAAAAGATAAAGTTTAAATTCAGTTTTTTTTTACTAAAATTTTTTGTCTTTATTTTATATAATTTATTTTTAAATGAAAAAAAATACATGGTTTAGAATTTGATCACCTTTCAAATTTGTTTATTTCAATGAAAAGATATAGTCGCTATTAAAACTGTATTAAAGAAATTGAACTTTTAACTAATTACAAACAAGTGGCTCAACATTTTGATATTTTTAAAAAACATCTTGTAAACTGATTGGCATAGTATAGACATCACTAATAAAATATTTTTACTTAATCTATTTATGTAATACTTTGTAATAGTAATTATTTCTTTTCTAAAAAAATATTTTTATTTCAGATTTTCCCCCTGAAATCCAAAGTAAGCCAAAATCCAAAACTTTTACAGTTTTGTTCTGTAAAAGTTTTGTAAAAATTATGATTACTTAGTATTTTATCTAGGTACTTCTAATTCTTGTCAAAAATCATTGCTAAATTTACTAAGTATCAACTTGATTATTTAAAAAACCAAACAAATAACACATGATCATTTGTTCTTTTCTCAGGAAATGAGGTGAATCAGGAAGGAAGGTCATAAGGAAGGAAATGAGGTCATAGGGGAACTAATCTCTAGTTTCAACAAGCTTTGTAGCTTGAAAAGCTACAAATAAATGATTTCAATTTTCTTAGTTTTTGAGTACAGTCAAACTACTTAAATAATTCGAAAAAAAAATTTCATTGGATATTTGTGTTTTTGTGTATACTTATTTTTTTTACATAATTTTGGATCACTTATTTTTCTGTTTTTAGTTTTTCTAGTTTTATTAATAAAATGATACCAGTTCTTCATATAGGCACAGAGGACTTTTTTTGGATATGTTTTTGGAGTTTTGTTGAGTTTTTTTAGAATTATAGATAAAGTATAAAGTTTTTGAATTTTTTTGATATTTTTAAACACTTTTTATTATATTTTATTTTCCATTCACCTTTTATCAATGTACTTTATTTTAAAAAAATACTTTTTTTATTTGTGAACCTAATATTATTATTTTTAGGACATTCTGCTTTATTTTCAAAACTACATTTTTGGTTAATATTTTCAGTTTTTAAAAAAAAGGATTTTTTGTTGTTGTGGTTTTAAATAGTTTTTGAGTAATCATTTTTAGTAAAAAATTTATATCAATATATATTTATATATTTGTATATTCATGAACATATATGTATGTATGTATGTATGTATGTATGTATGTATGTATGTATGTATGTATGTATGTATGTATGTATGTATGTATGTATGTATGTATGTATGAATGTATGTATGTATGTATGTATGTATGTATGTATGTATATATGTATGTATGTATGTATGTGTATTAATGTATATATGCATGTATGTAGTTTTAATAGAATATTTAATTTTGAATTTTTGAATTCATTTCAATTCTAAATAATGCGTGGTTCACAAAAAATTTTTAACACCTGTTTAAGTTGAATAAACTTTAATGAATAAACTTTATTTAGAGTAATTCAAAATTGTTTTCAGCGTTAATTTTAATTAGAAATCTGATAAAAAAAAGTTAAAATAATGGAACTATTAAAACAATGAACTATTAAAATATGTAACTTTTTAAAAAAAACTAGAACTTAAGTAAATATATAACATTAATAGCCACTCTATGCTGAGTTAATGTCACAAATCTCATATGTTTTTTTGTGTGCAAATTAAAAAAAAAGGTGGAATGTATATCAACAAAAGATATACATCTCTATTTTTGTCCATTTATAAATCATATTATAATAAAATAAGGAACTTAATAGCAGCTATTACACCCAAGTTAATAGCAAGAAAGAGTCACATTAGTTTTTGTATCAGAAAATGTGAACAAAAGTATATGCAAATATCTAATTTATGTAAACTTCAAATTATGTAATGTTAAAACATATATCAGATTTTACAATTTTACTCTTACTTTAAAATTGATTTGCAACAACATCTCCTTAAACATTAACATCTCCCTAATTTTGATTTATAGCATTTCTTTACGATTTTATAAAGTCTTTTGTTCAATAAATAATTTTCAAACTATACGCCTTGGTGGCCGAGGTGGTTAGGTTTCAGCATTCTGAAGTGGATTTTATAAAAAAAAAAAAAAAAAAAACATTTTTGAAGTTCAATAGATATTTTTATTTTTATAAAGTTTTACTTTTTTTATAAAAATTGCATTGCTGCAAATTCTCCTTAACTTTGATTTGAAGCATTTATTTGTCATTTTACAAAGTTATTCATTGCATTACCTCTTGTTTTTTGAATAGTGTTAAAAATTGAAAGTTTAATGTGTCTTAGTGGCCGAAGTACAATGTGAGGGTTCAAATCCTGTCGCTTGCATATTTTTTGAAGTTTTTTCCAATTTTCTAAATTACAAATTAAAGCATTTTAAAGTTCTATTGTTGATAATAAAAGATATAACAAAACAAAAGATAACAAACAAATAAAAGATATAATATGCTATAACAAACAAATAAAAGATATAATATGCTATAACAAACAAATAAAAGATATAATATGCTATAACAAACAAATAAAAGATATAATATGCTATAACAAACAAATAAAAGATATAATATGCTATAACAAACAAATAAAAGATATAATATGCTATAACAAACAAATAAAAGATATAATATGCTAAAACAAACAAATAAAAGATATAATATGCTATAACAAACAAATAAAAGATATAATATGCTATAACAAACAAAAAGATATAAGAAACAAAAGGGAGAGAGAGTTTTTAAAAAGCTTGAAATTGCAATAAACATCAAAACAGCAGAGAATTTTTTTGCGCTTACATCACGATAGAGATACTTAAGTTATTAATGTTGTTAGGTAATTAGTTAAGACTATGCGTTCAACACACATCAAAGAGACAGCCTCTTTTTTATAAGAAAAAAGATTTAACATTCAAAATTTTATTTTCTTCAAAAATAAAAAAACGCAAGGAAAAACTTAATAAAGAAAAAAATTTATCAGTCTGTACCCGTTGTTTTATAGAAGTTTACAATTTTACAATAAGAAGTTATAATGTATTTTACATAAACTGTTATTTCAAAACATTGTTTTTCTACCGCTTACTAAAAAATATTGAAGAAGGTATAAGTATAGAAATGATCAATGCATAATAGAAATACCAAGGCCCGTATTTTATGGGTCTTGAATGCTAATATAAAGTATCATCACAAGTACCAAGTACCATGAACTAAAATTCATCCAAGTTTATTCATGACATCCTCAACTTCAAAAGAACCAGATGAAAAACCTTTTAATAAAAAAACAAAAAACACTCAATGTTTTTCAACAATATCGAAAAAAGAAAATCTACCTAAAGTGTTTGTATGTGTGCAAGCTAGAAATGGTACATCATTTATTAAAAGTAATAATTTTAATAATATGCAAGCAGGGTTGGTTGCTCAAAGCTAAAAAAGTGCCCCAAAATCACATAATACTAATAGAAAAATCTTGTTAGACTATTACAAGTAGAATAAAGTTGGAGATTAGGTTTTGGTGAATAATGTTTTGGTGAATGTATTTCTTTTGAAAACTTGGTATATATGAATGTGAACAAACATATGTTGAAAAGTTATTGGAATTCAAGTTTCTTTTGTGTTTTATGGTCTATGCAAGCAGAAAAGGTGAAATTTATTTCTAAACAAAAGAGTCCACAACTTTAAAATAAAAGGAGGATATCATAAGTATTTCTACTGATAGTGCAAGCATTATAAGAAACTTAAAAAAATTACAAATATTTATAATTCTGTTGGAGCAGCTTGTTGCTTATACTTGAAAAATTTAAAACATTGTGTTAAGAGGCATTTCTAGAGAAAGAGTTGGATTCCAATATTGATGGTTCAGTTAAAGTGAACAAAAAATAATTTAGAAGCATATCTGATTTAGTAGTACTTTGAATTTAATTACAGATGCCATTGCATTAGAATTCATGTTAACCAAAATCAAACAACAACAATCTGAAATTGGAAAGTATTTGTATGCAGCTTTGAATTTACAAGAACATTAAGTAGGACCTCACAACACAAGGTGAGATTGCGATTAAGTAGCTAGAGTTTTACTTTATAATAATTATAGTGGC